ATATAAAATAAAATTTTTTTTTTCTGTAAGGGCATATATTTTTTTTTTAAATTCATTAGAAAAAAAAATACTTTTAATTTAAATAATTTTTTTTCCTCTAACATAAACGAGTTAAAAACTATTAGTCATTCGTAGTTTTTGTTATAATTCTAATATATTATTTCAAATGAAGATAAATTTTATCGTATATATTTATTTTTTATATTTGAATAAAGAAGTATTCGATGACTGGAAAAATAACCTTTTGATGTCAATGATAAATAAGTAATAATCGATACTTGTAGCGTCCACGTTTTTTTTATCTCTTTTCGTTTATTCTGTATTATTTACGCATGATTAATCAAATAAAAGAACGAATAATCCTTCGATTATTATATTCGTATCATTTACATGCTTATCGATAATGTTCGTTATGATAAGAGCAAATATATAAAGGATATTTTTATTTTATACATTGATGTTAGACATAATACAATGATTTTGAATATTTTTTAGATCAATAGTAAATAACAAGGTGTGAATTAGTTTTATTCATGTCATTACCATTAGTTTCACCATTATCACCGGATACGAATAAAGATGTAGCAGAATTAGCTAAATTTTTTAATGAAACATTAGGTTTTTGTCCAAATAGTGTACTTACTATGCAACATAGACCAGCTATTGCTACTGCATTTATTCAATTAAATAAAGCTGTTATGGCTAATCGAGGACGTGTAACAAGTGCATTAAAACGACTTATTGGTTATGTTTCAAGTACAAAAGCAGGTTGTCAATATTGTCAAGCACATACAATATTAGCAGCTGAACGTTATGGAGCTGAAGATGAACAACTTGCAAATATATGTCAATATTCTACACATCCATCTTTTAATGATGCTGAACGAGCAGCTCTTGATTTTGCTCTAGCAGCTTCTTCTATTCCTAATGCTGTTAATATTCCAGTTACTGAAAATCTACGTCAACATTGGGATGATGGTGAAATTGTTGAAATTCTAGGTGTAATTAGTTTATTTGGTTATCTCAATCGTTGGAATGATTCTATGGGTACAAGTATTGAACCGGGTGCTATAAAAGCAGGTGAAAAACATTTAACAAAAAATGGATGGTCACCTGGAAAACATTCATCTTAAAAATTCAACGAAATATCTGAAATATTTTTTGTATTAAACTTTAGTAGAAATATAATAAAATTATTTAGAAATAATCCACTATAATGAATAGCATTCAGTTTTCTTGGAAGACTTTGTCGAACACCCATCTAAAGATATCCTATACGAGAATAACGAAAAAGAATCTTATCTTTAGTTTTTAGATTATTCTCGAAGTTTAATACCGCTCGAAACTTTTCATTCATATGTAAATATGTCATTGAAGCCATCTATAATCAATTGTGCCTTCATTAGTCAGTTTGTCAACCAATATATTCTCTTTTCAGTTCTCTTCGATGTAAAATGAACTAAAATTTTGTTCTGTATTTGCAATTCTTTTATAGTTTTTAAATTGAAGAAAAATGCGTGAAATAATTCATATTCAACTCGGTGGATGTGGTAATCGAATTGGTTCTAAAGTATGAAACTTATATTTAAAATCTATCTATGGAATTTTATCTATAATTGATTAAGTTTTGGAAAACTATAACTGATGAACATTGTATTGATTCCACAGGTATTTATTATGGTCAATTAGATGAAAGTTTTGAAGGTATTAATGTTTATTTCAATGAAATACCAAGTAAGTGAATACAGAAATAAAATTTCATTTAACATCATTCAATTTCAGAAGGAAAATATTGTCCTCGTGCTATTCTAGTTGATCTTGAGCCTGATGTTATTAATACATTACATAATAATTCATTCAACAAATTTTTCTGCTCAGATAATATAATTTGTGGTATGATATTATTTTTATTAAATGAATACAAAGATTTTGTATGTGTAGGTAAAATTGGAAGTGGTAGCAGTTGGAGTTCTGGTTTTTATAACGATGATACCGAAGTAATTGATCAAGTTCTAAATACAATTCGTAAAGAAAGTGAATTATGTGATTGTCTTCAAGGTTTTCAATTGAGTCATTCTCTTCTTGGTGGCACTGGATCAGGTTTTGGATCATTACTTATTGATAAACTTCGAGAAGAATATCCTGATCGTATGTTTACATCAGTTTTTTTTAAATATAATATAAAATTGTTTCTTTAGGTGCTATAATGACATTTAGTTCTTTAGCATCATCTGAAACATGTGAACATCTCATTGAACCATACAATATTGTACTTTCTATACAACATTTAATTGAAAATGTTGATGCTACCTACTTTTTCGATAATGAAACATTACATAAAACATTTTCTCGTACACAAACATCACCGACTTACAATGATTTAAATCAATTGATATCAACTGCTATGTCTGGTGTAACAACATGTTTTCGTTTTCCAGGTATGTTCGCATTTACTTCTATTCATAAAAAGCTCAAAAATATATTTTAAATGTATATACCCAAAAGATATCTGTAGACGAGTGAAAAACTGAAAATCTTCAATTCTTTCTAGATCAGATCAATGGCGATATGCGAAAACTAAATAATCATATGATTCCATTTCCACGTTTACATTTCTTAATGTCCAGTTATGCTCCAATAATTTCTCAAACTTGTATACAAAATAATTCAATACCATTATATCAATTGATTGAAGAATTATTTGATAACAAAAACATGTTGATTCCTTGTGATTTACAACAAGGTCGATATCTAAGCGCGACAGCAATCTTTCGTGGTCGTAATACGACTATAAAAGAAATATATGAACATATGTTGAATTTACAAACTAAAGTGAAGAATATAAAAACTACTTTATGTAAAATTCCATTGAAAGATTTGGAAATATCATCAACATTGATTGGTAAAATATATTTTCTAATAGATTAAAATGAAAATAAATATATTTTATTAGGTAATCATACATCTATTCAAAATCTATTGAAGTATTTTTTAGAAAAATTTTCGACAATATTTCGTCGAAAACTTTATATATTTGGTTTTTGTCGTTCAGGTATGGATGAAATGGTAAGTTTCGATCTTTATGATTTTCCTGTTAGTAATATGATTTATATACAGGAATTTACAGAAGCTGAATCAAATTTAAGAGATTTAATTGATGAATATCAAGAAATTCAACATGGAAAAACAGAAAGTAAGAGTATATCATTTATTATATGAATTCATTTTAATTATAATTATAGACAACGAAGAAGATTAAGAATTTGGACAAACGTGTACAATAGATAAATATTCTCAATATCCGTCACAGTGAACTCTGTTTCTTATATCATCTCTTACTGATTCATATTTTTTTCTATTATATAATAAAATATAATATTCTAACTAAAACTTGTTATGATTTATACCGTCTATTGCAACCGCAGTCAAAACTTAAACTCTAACAAGGATAATTGCTTGAAGTCAATTGGAAGCTTTTGAGCTCATATGATTGCTTCTTTATCAAAATATTATGTTCTCAATAAAACGTTACATGCTGGAGACATATAGAAAGCGAAGCAATCATTTCTATTTAAAACTTTTATACTAATATACAAAATTTTCAATCGCTGCGAGTGGTTTTCATGTAAAACAATCAGTACATTTAGTTGATATAGATTGATTTGAATTATTTGTGGATTATATAAAATGCTGAGATTGACATTTTGATGAGTATTCATCCGATCTTTTGATATTCAATCAATTAAATATTTCTTATCTGATTTTCTTAATGGTCTCAATAAATAATTTGTTGTGAATTGTCTAACTTCCTACCCACCATCAATAACACTGAAATCCACACTTTTTGCCCTTACATGTATCAATAAAATGATGTGATTTTTGTCTTATAACTAGGATTGAGAGATAAAGCAAAAGTATCGAATTCCTTTTCGCTATCTCGATCAAATTCATTTGATTACTTTAGATCCACTGTGACTGACAAGAAAAATAACATATATATGATCAGAAAAGTATCTAGATGAATTGCATTCACTTTGCCAGTAAATGATGAATACTAAAGATATATATTCATATTCACTCAAATAAATTATTAAAAAAGAGAAAATGGTTGTATAGAATTATTGATTAATCTTTAAAATGTGAGTTTTATTTCATTGTAGCCTAATAACGTCATGTGTTGTTGTTATTTATGAAGGACTTCTATTGGCAGTAAAATATCTTTTACTGCATATGGATTTTTTTTTTATATTAAAGTTTCTCGTATACATTGCAGTTATTTTAAAATATGCTGTTGAATATTCATTTACGCTCTGCGTAAAGAACGCAAAAGAAAATAAACTACGCCGTATAGCTAATAGACTCGACTGATTCTTTCCACGTGCGTTATTCTCAAGTGAGTATATTTTTTTTTCCTTTTCTACTTACTAAATACTAGGAGTCTCATTTTATAGTTATCGTTTATCAGACAATAATATAATGTCTGTTTTGAAATTGGAACATTTAGCAAATGAAATACTCTACACAATTTTTGATTATCTCGATGGTTTTCATCACATATTTGCATTTCGTGGACTTAACTCTCGTTTCAATTCTCTTATAAATCATATTCATCTTCATATCAATACAACACATTGTCGAAAAGCTGATTTTAATTATCTCTTCGATGATATTTTTCCATTTACTACCAATATCTTTTCTTTAACAATATCAAACAAACATACTCTCGGTCCAATTGAAATATTTCTCAATCGACATCTTGATTTAATTCCACATAATCAACTTAATCATCTAAAACTTATAGACATCGATCCACAAGTATTGAATACATTTCTAAAAACTATACTTCCAAAACTTACGCGTCTTGTTTCATTAAATATTACGAATTCGATAACAAAATTTCGTTATGATTTACCACTAGAAACTATAAATGTTTCATTACCAGCATTTAAATATCTTTCATTATCAATTGAACAAACTTCATATTATCCACATGTTCCATTTTTCAATGAACATATGCTTATGCATCGAATGGAATCAATATTATCGACTGTTACGCATTTATCGCTCGAATATTCTCCACGAGATATTGTTGGATTAACTCTTTTATTTGAGAAATTAAACAAAATTGAATATCTTCAAATTACACTTGATATCGATGATGAAGTTGCTCGTGCGATTGGAAATCCTTTCATATCTAATTCTCCATTGATTAGAGATCATGGACAGCATCTACGATCATTTATTATTCAAATTGGGTATCATATATTATTTGTAGAAATTGCAGCATTATTAACTCATTTTCCACAATTACAAATATTATCATTAGCAACACAAGAATTTACACATGATATTCAATTTTATGATGGTCAAGCATGGGAAAAATTAATACAAACATCGCTACCTCGTTTAACTTCGCTTCGCTTATATATTTTTCTAGATTATCTTTCTTCTAATCCTATTCTACATGATATTATCAATCGATTTCGTACTCCATTCTGGTTAAATGAGAAAAAATGGTATATTGTAGGTGATCAATTTTCTAATCGTTCCTTACAAATCTATACTATACCTTGTCCGAAAAAAAGTATTGTTATTCTTAATAATACATCAATAGCATGGGATACTACTCTACCTTCAATCAATCTATCGACATTTCATTGTATTACTTGTCTTAAAATATATATCACTAAAGTTGAATCGAATCCGATACTATTACCTTATTTTAATAATGTTAAATCAGTTAAACTTTTAACATTACCAAGTAAAGATCATTATTTATCACAATATATAAACGTATCGAAACTTGAAACGGTTACTATTGAATGCTAATTTTAATGATGGAAACACCAGTTGATTATTGTTTGTTTGTAATCACTATATTTTCTCTATTTCTACCGCTCACATCATCGAAATGTACTTTTATAATAAAGCGAATATTTTTTTAAAGAATAATCTATATTTAATTAGAATCAGGAGAATGTTTTGTTGATTGCTTTCTAGGACCAGATTTAAGGGATTCAAATAGTGCATCAAGATGTTAACACTATACAAGACTTTTGAACAATTATGAAAGGATCACCTCATATGTAGTGTATAGTTTTCCTTGTATATCAAATAGCTATTTGCTATTGTCGTCGAAAAAAAAACAATTAACCACTTAAAGCAAGTATATTATTGGTTTTATAGTGTCCATTACAGTTATTGATTGCGACAGCCTTGTGTATGAATCTATGGTTTATTTTGAAATATGTTGCTTCCAAAACCGACACGATTAATTCTGTGAATCTCAATAAGATACGCCTCATACTCCAACAAACGTTTCCCAGGAGAAATACTAGTAAAAAACTTGCTAGCTATTGCAGTAAGATGATACTCCATGATGCTTTTAAATAAATTCATCAACACTGTTCAAGATCTTTTATGAGATCTTGCTCAACAGTATAGATCTTATCATTCCGGATATGTTATATTGGTACACGCTCATTTGTGTATCTTTACATCCTACTCGTGTGTTTTTCCAGAAAAATATTCTTTGAAGCAAAGCCTGCCTCGTAGTTTCTTTCTAAATAACCTAACCTACTTCGAATTTTTCTTATCATTGTTTCGAAAAATGCCAATATTAATCAATACGATTGATTATATTATTTCTAGACACAGATTATTTTGACGAGTTCATGCTCTCTCTAAGAATTCTTCGTTCAATTCTGATTCTACATCATTATTAGTGAATTCCTCATCGGAACTTTCAAATTCAATATTCATTCGATCAAAACCGTCATCCAAATAGTACATTTCATAGCATAAAGCTAACATTGTCTTCTTTATCATTTTTCAAGCAATATGTCAACTATTTCAGTTATTTGTATACGGAAAAACACAGGAATATAGAAGAAAAAAGTAGTTTTAGTTATTACTTCGTCGATTGTAAAAATGCAAAGACGAGAGCAATAAATAATCAATAGAAAATTAATGTAGGCGTTATTAAATGTATTTTTTCCAGAAGTAAATTGTTCTTCAAAATAAATATCTGGAAAAGTTTTCCAAAAAAAACTGAATCCTGTTGAATATATTACATACAAAATATATTTCTAACAATAAATATTCTATTCTTTCTCAATGTATTTGATGTAGCATTTGACGTCATTCCCTGACTTTCTCTTTTTTTACTGTCGTAAAAAATCATGATAAACATTATTTCAAACAATTTACGCCTGTTTTTTGGTCGACATAGATTTTATATTAATACCAAATAACTCTCTCGCATCTGCCAATATTTTATTGAAAATTAACTTTGAAAAAAAGGAAATAAGATTAATATCACTATTGATACAGGATGTTTTTATTTTACTCATGCAGAATTATTTCTATTGAATTCATGAGAAGTAACGAATATATATCATTTTGAAGTTACATTTAATCGTCTCGAATAATAATGAATCAAAACTTGTTTTTTATTTTGATTTAAATTGATGAATTAATAGAATATTAAATCTCATAAATATTAAAAAAATATTCAATGAGTTAATTAATGTTTTCTATCATTATGTCAATGTTCATCAACAATCTGAGAAGACAAAAGAGTTTTTTATCGATTTTAGATTGTAAAAGTATTCAAGATCACATAAAACAACAACTATGAATATCAACAACAGTGTTGGACCTGATGAAGTAATTTATTAAGTAAAAAAAGTAATTTTTTTTTCATTTTTTGAATATTTTAGTCGACAGTAAGTAACTCTCGTACAACACGACTAAGAAGATTGTATGTATATATTGTGAATAAAAATAAATCATCAAAAAATATGTATTGTTCTAGATTTGAACATTTTCGAAAGCGAAAATTAATTTGGATAATATGTCTCATTATTTTAATTGTTGCGATTATAGTTGTTGTAACAACGACTATTTCATCAAACAAAACTAAAAGAGAAAAAACATCAGCAATAGAGATAACAACACCAACATCACCATCAACAACGTCATCAATATCATCAACAACAGCAACAACAACAAAAAAGGTCACAACAGAACTATCATCAACATCATCATCATCAGCAACAACAGCAACTAGCGGTATAATTTCTTTTGAAGCTAGTGAGGTCCAGAATTTTGCCAATTTGACTTTGAATTCAATGTAGACTAAAAAACTTTTCTTGGCTACATTAATAAGTGAAAGCTATCATATATCCTATATTAATATTGTTTCGTGACAACTGGCGATAGTCTTATTGGCAGACGTTCTGTCACCCAGACTACTTAGTTTTTTTTAATTAATTCATAAATGAGAAAGTAGCTTTTCTTTATTCAGTCTTAGATATTTTATTTGAATAATCACATAAAATAGTTTAATCTTCGATGATCAATAGTCACATATTATACTTTATTTTTAAGGAATAATTTTTAGATCGAAAGAAAAGAAAACAAAATTGAAATGCTTTTATAAAATATTTTATAAACTAATTAATTTCTTCTTTAATAGATAACAATATTAAATGGAAACAGAATGCAGATACTGTTGCTGGAGGATCTGAAGGAGGAAGTGCATCAAATCAGTTGACGAATCCTTATGGTATTTATGTTGATGATGATAATCATTGTATTTATATTGCTGATACTGGCAACCATCGTATTGTTAAATGGGAATTTGATTCAAACGATGGTGTAGTTGTTGCAGGTGGAAATGAAGATGGAGATGGAATGAATCAGTTAAATATCCCAACAGATGTAATTCTTGATAAAGAAAAAAAATATCTCATCATTTGTGATCGTGGTAACCAACGAGTGATGAAATGGTCTCTTCAAAATAATCAAGATCAACAAATATGGATATCTGATATTTCGTGCCGAGGTTTAGCAATCGATGATAATGGACATCTTTATGTGTCTAACTCAGCAAAGCGTGAAGTCAGACGTTGGCAACAAGCAGATTCAAAAGGTATTCTTGTAGCAGGTGGAAATGGACAAGGAAACCAATTAAATCAACTCAATCAACCTAATCGTATCTTTGTCGATGAAGATCATTCAGTTTATGTAGCAGATACTTTCAATAATCGTGTAATGAAATGGGAGAAAAATGCGAACGAAGGTATTCTTATTGCTCCAGGACAGATTTCTAATGAAAATCATAATACGATGGTGAACCCCACAGGTGTGATTGTTGATCATATGGGTAATGTTTATGTGTTGACGATCGAAAATAATCAAATAACTCGTTGGTCGCCAGGTGCAAAAGAAGGTGTCCCTGTCGTTGGTGAAAAAGAATCTGGGATCGAATCCACGCAGCTCCAGGATCCTAAAGATTTATCATTTGATCGACAGGGTAATCTTTATGTTGTCGATCACAAAAACCATCGAATACAAAAATTTGATGTTGATCGTGACTAAAACGAGTTTTTTAATTATAAAATGACTTTTAATAAATAATTCTTTTTTGTCACTTGTAAAGTATTTTTCATTAACAATCAATAAAGTTCATTAAAAGTATAAATAATTTAGTTTATCATTCATTTTGTAAACACAGCCATATCAGATTTTCTTCATGCCTATAATTCTTTTATCAATCGATACAACAAAATGTTTCAATAAAAATACGATTTATATTTCTATGTAGTGAAAATTAGTGAAAATATCGACTCGGTCTTCAAATCTTTTGTATCAACATTCATGTATATTTGCAAAACTTTTAAAGTCATACATTAGTTTTATTTGTATAAAAAGTATTTTACAATTTCGATTAAGAAAATCTTAAAGTTTTCATGGTATTCATGAGTTTTTATTAAAAATACTAGATTTGGAATAAACATAATTATGCCTGTTATATACTATATAAATTATTGAAATAGAAGGCGATACAATCTTCCTATTGTAAAAAATATTCTTCTTAGGATGTGGATGAAATAGAAGGCTCACAGTCACACCCACCCACCCTCACCCACACCCACACCCACACAAGATATTGAAGTGATGCGTATACTGGTTCACAAACTGCCAAATGAGATTCAAATATGAATTTTTTCCAAGCACTTAATCGTCAATATAAAAAAAATATAGCCTTCGACAAAATGAAAATATCAAGTGATGCGAATATCATATTATCTATAATGGAAGATCAAGAGACATATTGGCCATGTAAATCAGTATCGCTAATCGAGTCATATATTTATGCACGTATTCTTTGTAATGTAACTTATGAAAAATATATTTATTATTGGTATGTATAAAAACCTTTAAAACATGGATACTTTTCGTTAAGTGGATGACTGGTGCTTATTTAATACAGATTTATCTGGTAAAAAAAAGTTTTGAATGTGGGGGTTTAAGTGTTCTATTCATTTCAAATACGCTCATCTCTTACTTTTAAGAGAGATATATTAAATTATTACGGTATAATATCTCATTTTAAATGGTATGATTTCTTCACTTAAAAAAATTTGATCATCGTATCAATATGTGCCTTGAATACAAATAATTGTTGAAATAAACTATTTGATTTCTACTTATTTAGTCAAGATTATTATCAAATAATAGAATCTTAACATGTTATTAATATGAAATTAAAAAGAAACCGCTTACATATTAAATTTAGTGATTATTTTTTATTTTTATCTAAATTAAATGAATTCTATTAGTGCTGATAGAAAGTTGTTTTCCTATTTGAGCAATTTAATTCTCACCACCTATACCAATTCCTTCTATTAATATAACAGTATGCAACTGATCGACACTTTCACTCTATGATCCAATAAGAATTTATCTTTTAATAACAAATGAAATCGGTGAATAATAAATGCAATTACGAATATATATTTATGTTATATAATTAGAAAATAAAAATTTGGAAAGTTTTTTCTTTTATTTATGTACTATAAGAACAAGCACGTTTGATATTTGTCATGAGTCAGTATAGATACACGATCGACGTTATTAAAAATGTAATACGTAATATACATAATCAATAAATAAGAAATCATTGTTGCATATCATCAATATAAAAATTGGGTTTTTTTTACGAAAAATAATTTATTTCACATTAATAAAATTCGTGAATATGATAGAAAGAATATCTTAATTATTTTCTACCTATTAGAGATAAATGCAAATCGATTAATAAAAAATAAATTCACATCGTTTATATATGTCTTTTTATCTTTTTTTTTTGTTTTAAATAAAATAAATAATATATTTTATAGTTATAGAACTATTCAGTATTAACGACTGATTCATAACTTGGTGGTGGTGGTTCTAATTCATCGACCGTCTGATTTGTATTTTGATCATCATATTCTTCTTGTATTTGATTTTCATAATTTGATTCTGTACCAACAATAACTGGAACACTTACTTCAAAATTAGTAAAAAAACCATGATATTTTATTGTTAATATTAATTCATATTTGATAACAAAAGGATATGGTTGATGATGCCAAAATGTTTCAAAAAAATATGTAGGGGCTATATAACCACGAGGTAAAGGGAATTCAAAAGTTTCTTGTAAACTAGCACCATCAAATTCATGAAAACCAGGTAAATCAGCAACAAAAATAACTTCTTTATGATTATTCATAACAGTGCTTCGATGTTGAATAAATGCAATTTCAATTCGTTTAATTTTAATACGTTCAGGATTTTGAAATTTAATTTCAAGTGAAAATGACTGACCAGGAATAATTCCACTACTTAAAAGATAACCTTCAAGTTGTAATTGTCTTCGATTTTGTTTATTAAAATGAAGTGTTTGTTGTGCACTATTCATATGAGAAAGATCTACATGAGGACAAACTGTAAAACCAAATGCTTCAGTTTGACTTAATTTATACCATGGTTTATCAACAACAACTCGTATAAAATATCTTATATAAGGATATACTGTTAGATTAGGTTCTGTTGATGGAGGTAAAAATTCTGGAAGAGTAAATTCAAATGGCCATGTATAATGTCCGCGAGAAAGAACCATTTGACTCTAAAAACAGCTCGCTATTTTTCAATAAAATTCTATATATATATATATATATATATTCTTACTTTTACGTGATCAGATTCAGCTAAAGGTAAACGTATAATTAAGAATTTAATGCTATGATCAGGTCTGTGATTTAGTTCAGTTGATTCACCATTTGAATGTGTCTTTGTCTTATCTTTGTCTTGTGTTTCACCAAGTTCACCAATAAGTTCAATAAAAATCTCATTGCATTTTAATTTTTCATATGTATTATTAATTGAAATATTGCCTGATACTTGTTCACCAGTAAAATAAAAACGATTTGATCGATTAAAACTTACTTGAAGATCAACACTTTTGCCTGCGCCCATTGATTTTATTCATAATATGATTGCATTTTATATTCAAAAAAAAAAAAATAACAACCACGATATATCTATCTCTATAGAAAAGAAAAATAACGTCTACATGTACATCGATGATCAATTAGAAAATGTATCGGAATGAGTCATTGCAACGCTTTTTTTCCTATTCTTCAAAATAACACGCTGAATATTATATACACAGATAAATGTAATAATCATGTGATTTCTTATTATTAATAGGTAATAAGCAAAATATTCAGTTTCGATAATTCGAAAGACGATAGTGATAATATAAAATCAAGTAAATTTCAAAAAAGAGTATATTGATATTTGAAATACTTTTGACATGATTAATCGAAAAAGAACGATTATTGATTGAACCCACAAGAATTTAACGTCATAAAATTTCTTTTTTCTCCATAAACAGCACATGTGCTTATGCTGCATAATAGTTGTTCTCTTTCTCCTTGATGAATTCATTTGTATGTATTCACTTTCTGTCTCTAAAGCAATTGTTGCAACGAACAATTGTGCACATTTATTTCTTCATATTTTATTAAAAGACCACTGTAGTTCATAAAGAATCACTTCAATCAACGATAAAATTAGGTATTTTTTCTGCCACTCCATCATTGAATATAAATTTATCGTTTCCTTTGGCATAGACAAGCCATTTCAATATGATTATGAACACAGTAGTCGATAAACAGCAAAATGTTAATCAATCTTTTCAAAGGTAGGAAATATATTTCTAAAAATATCTCATATCTGATATATGTAGTTGTTTGGAATCATTACCAAATGAACTTCTATTCATGATCATAGTTCATTTGAACTCATCAGATTACGTTCACGCTTTCTATGGTCTCAATCATCGATTTAATTTAATAGTCACTCAATCAGTTCATCATTTTATTATTTCCAAAGATCATTCAACAATAGGATTTGACAAATATAAATCACATATCAATAATGCTATTGGAAAGATCTGTTTCGATGTAGAACTATTACCGCAAGTCTTTTTACCTACATACCATTATTTTAATCTTCATTCAATTGTACTTCGTTGTTCGGAATTAGTCACCGTTCATCTCAATGTTAATTGTGATTCTATTAAAAATGCTATTCGCTCATGTTTGGATATATTTTGTGTCTGTAATATTTTTTCCGCTGATTCGAATAATGATAATTGGTTTTATAATAGTCATTATTGCAAAGAACTTGACACCGATGCTCCGGTGAGTATTTTAAGACATAATCACATATTTATCACTTCGATAATTATGAGTTTTAGACAGCAACAATACTGAATGGATTGACTTGCTCAGCGATAGTACGTTTATCTATTAATAGCTGTTCTGAACAAATTTTATTTTCTCTTTGTACTTGTGCTCCTAATTTGATCTACCTGAAAATCAAACAACTCATCTCGACGGATGATAACTTGAATATCAATACTGTTTCTACTCTGATTCCTCAATCACCTCTACTGAAACAGTTATATATTACTGCAAACGCTCATCGTTTAGATAATATTCATTTAGTCGGTAGATTAATCGGTTATTATCGATCTTCTCTCGAACATTTGGCATTAGAGATTTCGTTAGATAATCAAATTGATGGATATCATTTACAGACAATACTTGAACCATGTCGATATCTTCAGAAATTTTCATTTATTTTCAATCACTGGCACGAAGAAACGGAAAAGATTGATGTATTGCATCAATTTCAGAGTGACTGGTGGTTAGATTCTCATCAGCCAACGGTGCTTATTTTCTATGGTAATCAATGTGAGACTATGGTCGTCTCTATGCCTTGTTATCTAGATGATTATACATGGTTTCCGATCGATCCAAAAGATTGGCTAGTGAATAAAGGTCAACTCGATTCACCTGATATTCATTTTAAAAAACAAAAGTGCATTAGATTTACTAACAGCAACCGTCAGCTAATCACTCTTGACTTAGTCCGCATTATTGGTCATGTATTTCAAGCACCAAAACAAGAGCTTTCCATTCCACATTGGGGATTTGTCTCGCCCGATCTTTTTATTGAACACGTTAGTTTTTCATTTCATTTTCTCTTTGTTCTTGATATTATTATTTTGTAGTTACTCAATACAAGATCTGAAGATCCCATGCTACCAATGATCCATTCTCTTGATTTAAATTCATGTAATCTCGATTTATTAGATGCGAAGACACTCATCATATGGCTTTTGTTAACACCGAATGTTAAAGTATTGAATCTATGTCAAGGAACTCCTGCTACTAAGATACAATTGGCAAATCGATTAAAATTATTACTTGAAGAAGATAAACGTCTTAAGTCTATTACAGATTCTATTGAAGAAGTTCAAGTTTTTTACATGTTTGATTCCCTTAGTTTTGCTACGAAACAACATATATGTCAAATGTATTCGAATATATTTCGAAAACCTATTATTCGTCGTTGATAAGAATGCGGGTCAATTGATCGCATTTATCAACTTCTTTCACTTGAAAAATTGTGACTGCTTTTTCTAAGATTACGTCATTTTTTTCGAATAAAAAGAATCAAAGAATAATAAACTATTATGGATGAGGGTGAAGCATATTATTACTCATCCTCTTACAGTGTTCCCCTTCAAGACGATTGTATGGCATAATAAAATGCCATCTATTGACGCTAACAAATAGGGAAGAAAATAAAAATGAAGAAATTAATGAGTTGTGCAATGTCTTAGTCATATGCAGTATGACGTGTAACGATATGAATCATTACATTGACACAGAATAGCGATAAAAGGAGACTGCAATGATGACTGATAAGCATTGAATGAAAAGCATAGCAAATTATTGTCAGCAACAAAAAGAAAATTACTGTGCATAATCGTCGAACAAAAGTCTTGCAAACTCTTGCCCAAAGTGATTTACATAAATTGATCGAAATTTAAAACAACGATTATCAATCAATGGCAGCTATTGATGATGAAGATATCGATGATGATTCAGCACCAATATATGAAAACGAAAAATTAGATATACTCATTCGTAAAATGCGATTATGTGAATCAGCAACATTTTATGTAGATACTATATCGAATGGCGATATCATATTAATCTCAGATGAATTGAGAACGAATCGAATGTGGAATTTTCTTCAAATAATTGGAGAGAACTTAATTAAAGAAGATGGTGTTAAGTATTTATTCGAAGCATTAGCAGCTAATACATCAGTAAAAGCTCTTCATTTATGTGGTAATTCATTAGGAAATAGAAGTGTCAAACTTTTCATGAATTCACTTGCGTCTAATATGACCATAGAAGATCTAAACTTAACAGACAACCAAATAACAGATATTGGTGCTCAGGCAATCAGTGAAATGCTTCGAACGAATACAGCACTCACCATTTTAATATTAAACGGTAATCCATTATCTGATATCGGTATAACATTAATCGCTCAAGCCCTTCAACATAATCGAATCTTGACAACTTTGAAAATTGGTAGAACTGGTGTGACAGACATGGGTGCCGAAGAATTAGCCTTAATGATTCAACTAAATACTACCTTAAAAAAATTATCACTTGATAACAATAGAATTAGTGATATAGGGATGAAAGCTTTATGTATGGCCTTAAAACAAAACCAAGTATTAGAATGTATCGATATTCGACAGAATCGAATATCAGATAAAAGTATTGACGATATCGTTTCTTTGCTTCAAACCAATCAAACATTAAATGTATTGAATCTAGTACGAAATCGATTCAGTGATCAAGGAAAAAATACTTTACGACAAGTAAATGTTATTTTAAGAGTGAAGCTGTAGTTAATCTGTTGCTCTTCATCTCATACCTTGTCATCTAGAATTACTTTGCTAAGTTTGGATATAAAATACTAATATAACATTCTCATGTATATTTTCAAGATGATTACTATTCATATTGCTAATAAATTTTTATTTAAAATTCTTTACGAATATTTTTCAAGAGATTGATCGAGGTTTTTTTAGTACGTTCCGAGTAATTCAATAAGGATGTGAATGAGGATGAACGTAAATATTGTATATAAATTTTACTGACATCCATACCCATATTCTCAATTAAAATAAATGGCGTATATGTTATCGGATGACGTAAATATTGCGGTAAAGAAAAGAAAAAAGTCGTAAAGAGAAAAAGGCATACACCTCATTTTTTTCGGTTCTCAACAACAGCAACAACGGCCATGATGTCGAAGGTGTTTTTTTTCCGTCAACAAAAGAATGAAAAAATACGCATATAGGTGACAAGAAGAGTTGATAAAGTTTCGATTCTTTTTATTCTACTATCGTAAACAACAGCACGCATTCGTTAACTGATCACGGCAGTGAAACATGGCAACGGCATCATCAAACAATGAAGAAACTACAATAACACAAAATTCAGATCCATCCAGTAGCTCTAAACTTCAAGTAAGGATGTCTATTACTTGTGTGAAAGAATCATCGATTTTAATAGGAAATGTTCGACGAAACATGCGATAAGAATCAGATACCCGCTTCGATTCCCAGTAAGTCAGTCTGTATATCATGCTTTCTGTGATATTCGGTGATAAAACTCTTGTAGAAAATACCGACGATTATTGGGATATTGATCGAGCTCTTGCATGGACCAACGAATCTAATGAAAATGTACAAGCAAATGAGAATACAGAATCTGTGCTAATTCAAGAAGAAAACAGTGAGATTTCAAGATTGTACAATAGCGTACACATTTTTCTTCCTGTTTTCCAAGACCCAATTCGTGATGATATCAATAAGGTGGAAGAGGATCTCACACAGCTTCTCAGGGTCGCTATCAATGGTCAAGGACTGGAGAATACGAACAACAATAGAGAAGAAGCTCTAATCGACACAGGCAGCGGTAATGTTAGACCATGTCTTTCACAGTCAACAGGTATGTGAGAAAATGTATATACTAAGAACAACCTTTACGTATTCTGTTGAAGACCAGCCACAGGTTCAAGCGTCTGCTAATATGTCAGCTACCGCTGCAACTACAGATAATAGTGAACAGACAAAAAAACAAAAAAACAAACATATTATGATAAGCTATAATAGGTCATCATTGGACACTTGCCAAAAGATCTGTGATCGTCTTAGAGTAAATCGACATTTGAATTCTTACATAATCTAAGTGTTTAATTCATACATAGGCAGCAGGATATGTGGTATGGTTTGATCTGACCGATATGCGCAGTAATATAATCGATGGCATGGCTGAAGCAGTTGAAAATTCTTATATTGTTCTTTTGTGCATCACTCATGCATATTGTGAAAGTCGTTATTGTAAGTCAGGTAAGTAGTAAAGCTATGCAATATTCTTCTTCTATCTAATGCGATTGTGTTTAAATATATGTTTTCTACATAGAGGCTCAATACGCTTTGGAAAAAAGAATCAAGATAATTCCTTGTTTCATGGAAGAGCCATTCGAACTCGAAGGTTGGCTAGGTATCATCCACGGTGCCAACTATCGTATTGATTTTTCTTCACCGGAAGAGTTTGATGAATCATTTAAATTATTAATTCGTGAAATAAAGCATACCGAAGACCAATTAAGCATCAATCCTCGTAAGTTATACTTGTCAGAAAATCTAAAATAATCAAAAATGAATGAATTAATCATTATTATTTCTCATAACCAAGCTTTGAACTTTTCAAGTTTGCTTTAATATTCATAGGTAGTACTTCTCCTGGTGTTTCAATGTCTTCTCCAACGAGCAGAAGACTGGCTCCTACACCAATAACAGTTCCATCTAACACTTATCTGACATTGCATGCTCGTCTCGATGCCATTATTCGTGATTACAAAGATTCAATCGAAAATAAACCTCGTCATGTGAGCAAAGGTCAACGGAAAGAACTTGAGAAACTTATCAGTCAACTTCGTCAGCAATTAATTCATGATGCATCATTAATTTTACCAAACAGTCGTACATACAATAATGATCATGAACTGTTGCAACATCTTAATAGATCTCTTGATCTACATCAACTATTGATAGATAGTTTAATACCACCATCTCCTATACAACGAACCCGAGGAAGCGAGCTCCATATCAATACTGATAGAATCATGAAACTGGTGCTTAGGGTCCTAGCTTTGTGGGGTGCAAAAGCACTCTACAACAAGACATAAATCACTTGTTTCATATTACACTGTGTTCTTTATTTCGGCTATTGTACTCTTCGTTTTATCTATCATATGCGAAAAAATTATTTTTTATCAATACATGTTTCGATTTGTGAAGATGTGAATGGATTTAATATCCAAATCTATATTCACCTTCATTATAATGATCCTCGTTTATTCGATATTGTCTTTTTCATTTTACAACTCAATTCTATTTAAACCAGAAATTTACGATAAAGTCGATAGAATCTCATATATGAAAATAATACAGAGTGCATTGCAGATATTGATGTAGTTAAATTTCTGCGCTGTATTCGTAACACTAATACATTGTCATTCGCCTATCTTCTTTTTCTCATATCAAAGTTACGTTATTTGATCTGATTTCATTCTTATGTCTTCTTATGATCAATATAATTGCTGTCGTCTTCCATTTTTCTCTCATTTTAAAGTTCAGTCCACTTTTTTTCGAATAAGAAAGAGAATAGGCCATGTGTGTGATAGCTTCTCTACGGTGTATACGTACAGAATAGGCAAACACACATCGATAAGAACAGAATAAAAGAAGGGTGTTTAACGGGCGTATTTATTTTCTTATCATTTCACATAAAACAATATGATTATCACATTGATTCTTTTCACGTGCTTTGTTAGTCTTATCACCGTATATTTCTTGACTTTAAAATCTCGTTACTCGTATTTTCGTGTTCGAAGCATTCCAGGTCCATCACCTACATTTTTCTTTGGTCATTTTGGTACTATTTGGTCTACAAAATTTTATTCACGTCAGCTGCAAGAATGGACACGCAAATTTGGTTCGATCTATGGTCTTTTTGAAGGCACTCGTCCATTATATATTGTTTCCGATGTTGATTTTTTGCAACAAGTATTTGTTCATCAATTTTCATTGTTTAGCTCGCATCGAGTCTCATTTCTCTATCAATTATCCAAATCGGTCCACCTGATTAGTGTTGGTCCATCAAGATGACGTCAACAGCGACATGCTATTAATCCAGCATTTTCAGCAGCAAAACTAAAGCTTATGGCACCGCTTATTGATCAATGTATTGAATCATTGATGAAGAAATTATCCAAAATGAATAATGAAAATAAAGAATTCAATATCTATGAGTTATATCAACGATTGACTATGGATGTTATCTGTGAGTATACTTCAAATGTTGTTGTTTTTTACTTTTCAATATCGTTTTACTTATATCTAGGTCATTGTGCATTCGGGATTGATACGGACATGCAGAATGATGTTGACAATGATTTAATGACCAAAGCAGCTGTTATTTTCAAACAAGATATTGAACGTATGCCATTGAGTAAATTAAGCTATTTGATGCCATGGTCAACATCTCTTCTTGCTCAATTTGCTCATAGCCAAATAGCTCTATTTCATTGTCTTCACAAAATAGCACCGACAATCTTTCCTGATTTAGTCGATAAAATACCTCGTCTTTGGCTTATATCAAAAGTTCAAGAAGTAATCGATGTTCGAACAACAGATACTTCAACAACAAAACGAGTAGATCTGCTTCAGACAATGCTCGATGCAGCTGCTACACGGCACGAGGTTGGTGTTTAAAGCTAATGTAAGAAAAGGAAAATTATATGCTTTATGTTCATTCTAGGACAATACTGACGATAAGAAATTGAGCAACGATGAAATCAAAGGCAATGTATTTCTCTTTATGGTTGCCGGCTTTGATACAACATCGACGATGCTTGGATATTGCACTTACGTATTGGCTACACAGCCCAATATTCAAAAGAAACTTCAAGCAGAAGTTGATGATCAACATGAAAAAGAGCTCGATTATGATACAGTGACAAAAATGGAATATATGGAGTTATTTCTACGAGAAGTTCATCGTATGTATCCACCTTCCGTAGCAGCCATTACAAGAGTGTGCGAACAAACAACAACTGTATGTGGTCACACCATTGAAAAAGGTAAATATATTATCGGATATTGTTTATTAAAAAAACTCAAGTTGATTTTTTTACATATTTCAAGGAAGTATCATTCAACCAGATATATTTACTATTCATTACAATAGTGATTTGTGGGGTCCCGAGGATCCAAATCAGTTTATTCCTGAACGACATTCTACTGAACGACATCCACTGGCTCTCTTAGCATTTGGCGTCGGACCACGCTCATGTATTGGAATGCGATTTGCTCTAATGGAAATTAAAATGACTTTAGCTCACATACTTCGTCACTATACAGTATTACCTGGCGAACATTTGCAAGAGGGTTTTCAGTTAAATGAAGCATTTCTTATACAGCCAAATGCTATCAATATCAAACTCAACAAACGTTAATGACGATGATTGAACACTTTTATGACTCTTAGAACGAACTTATAATTATCACACGAGTAGTCAATAGTTTTTCTTCTTTAATTATTTATTCCTTAATTCTATATCTATTCACGCTTTTTTTTATTTTTCATTATACTCTCTTCTTCTTTTCGGTTATATAATTGTGGAGGGATTGTTCAGTTCTTTTTTGAAAAGAACTCTACTGTGTTGTTACTCATTTTTTCTTCGATTCAAAGAATACAAACTTCTGCTGGTGCAGTCTCTCCTATGTTCAAGAATCTCAATTGAAAGCTCACAAAGTGTGATCATTATCTCGTTTTTAAGACTCTTATTTCATCGAAAACATGTTCGAGTGATTTATTGCTGATCACTTTGTTGCTGCGACAAGATTTCATGAGTACTAATAAAGAATACCGATGAATCTCGATGTTGTTTACGATGTTTAGTCATTTTACGGATTGATCTAAAATATTTAGCGCACCAAGACGAGTTTCGAAATTCAGACATGTAAACATTGTTTGGATAGATGAACACGACAAAGATGCATGTATATGGTATTAGACTAAAATATTTGAGTATAATAACGATACGATACGCGTAATAAGAATCTGTTTGTCCGCATTGATTATTCATTTGGTCAGCGAGGTACCATGGCAATCCGAAAAATAATAAAAATATGATAGGTACAAAAAAATCACGATGTTTCGATAATTGCTCACGCCAGACGCGACATTTGTCAGGTCGATTTGTTATATATACTTTTCTTTTCGCTATATTGACTAAGACAATAATGCTAGCAATGGCCTGAAGTAACGATGCCATCAGAGGATGAATCCAACTAAAGATTCGGTAGATCTGATAGCATAGTTGAATGTGATAGATATAAAATAATGTACGAGGTATAACGCACGTAAATATTATACAAGCAAAAGATAATGTAGAGACTATGATTGACCGTTTTCTCGAGGCATATAAGCTTATATTGAAACATTGAATAAACATTCGTTCACATGCGATAAAACTCATAAGCCATAAACATTGGTACAATGATGCAAGTTTGATGATAGTTTGAAATTGTCGATGAAAATTCGTAATTTGAAGGCATTGTGTCAAATCGATAATAAAGAATACCAGTGCTATAGTTGAATAAAATAGAGCAGCCCAACACAATAGAATAAGATAGAAACCAAGATTTGTGATACGAATTCGTCGACAGTAAGCTGTTTGAATAGTAAGAATAATACTTAGGAATAAAACAGATATATACACAGTTGTAAGAGGCAGATAAATCTGTCGACCACTAGATGTACAAGTAGTAAAAATGTCATATAAACTAGGAGATATCACTTCATCGCTTTCGTTGCAAAATATACGATTGTAACATATTAAACACAAACATTTTGAATTATTCGTCATTCCTTTTTTCTTTTGAATACCTACACTTTATGCAAGCGTTCGACTATATTATTTCTCGATTAATGAATATGTAATATTCTTTTTTCGTTCTCTTCCTGTTATTACGCACAATATTTTTTGCGCATTAAAGGTAAGGACTATTTTTTTCAAATAAATAAACTACAAAATATTTCTTCCAACTTAAAATTCAGAAAGAAACATCTGCGTTCGTTACAGAACGAAAGAAAAAAATATATATATATAGGTGTACATGCTTGATTACAAAATAAAATGTACAGGATGTGGGTGTGAGAGTATAGTGATTAACTAATACTCTTAACACAATATGACATTTATATATTGGATTTGATTATATCTATTTTCATAAATGGTTTTATATTGAATTGAATTATTAAAGTTTTCCTTTATTATTCGTTGAAAATACCAAGTAGTTTTATTCTTTTCTTTCGATCGATATTTTCTCATTGTCATTTCATTACCATTCCATGTATTTTCAACTTGCTGTAAATCTTCATGAGATAATATTCGATTAAATAAACTAACTGAATAACCTATTGTTAATAATAATGTTTGATTAGTTGTTTGATTAATTTGAATATATCGTTTTAAGAAATTTCTATCAAATTTCATATAAGCAAGTTGTAAAAGACTCATCGTCTCATTAATTTTATCAGCATATCCATCGGGAAATAATTTCCATAATGAAAACATATGATGTAAAGATACTAAACCATGAATTCCACTTTCAAAATAACCCGTCATATCTCCACTATGATCCATTTGTTGAAAATTTCTATTTTTTGTTAAACTAACATTTAATATTTCAGTAATACATTTACCAATCATTGCATCACCACCATAGATATTCCTATATTTTTTACATTGTTGATTATATTTTGATAATAATGATGCTAATGATCGACTTAATAGAATACCACCACCACCATAAGCATAATAGTCGCCATGACGTTTAATTTGTGATTTTCTATCAGAAATATTACCTAAATAAATGGATATTGATGAATTATATTGTTGAAGTGTATGTAAAAGATTATTTATAAACCATATTGTATCATCATCACTAACAATAAACCATTGAATAGATTTTGTTACATTTCTATTTTGATTTTGCCAAGCAAGATGAAATAATTCAACATATCTTTCTTCATAATTTGTTATATTTGAAATTTGTATTTTACATAAAATTCCTTCATGAATAAGATATTCTATAATATTTTTATTATTCATAAAATCGTTTTCTTCGAAAATAATAAGACAGTTAATATTAGGAAATGTTGCCCAAAATTTTAAATAATGAATCGTATTGATTATTCGTTTAGTATTAGTAGTAAGTGTGAAATATAATTCCTCAATGATATATTTATGGGTTGTATTATTCATTGTGAATGGAGAAATTGTTTCTTTATATTCGATTAAATCTTTGATGTTCTGTGTTAATGTTGTATTATCATGAGAAAGTTCAAATTTAACATTTGTTGTTTTGTTATGAAAGAATGAAGTTGGAAATTTAATAAGAATATTATTTATTATTCGATTGATATAATTTTTTTGTTGTTGATAAGATAAAATGCAACAGACAATAATGAATATTATTAATATTCGCTTATTTGAATAATTTGTTTTACATCTAATCATTTCTTTAATACATTTAGTAATAATAAATCTTCTAAAAATAGTATACATAAGAATAATACGAATTGCTGTTTTATAGACAAATTTTAAGATATTATCAAAGTGTAAGTCGGAAACAATCTGTTCATTGGAATTTTTTAATTATGGCATAGTTAGAGATTGTCACGACCATTTTGAGGGAGTGAGTGTCTCTTCTCTACTCACAGCACAATAGTTTCTAATTGAAGCGAAAGTCATATACCTTGTTGAGCTGTATATATTATGTCTTTTCAAAATAATAAAATCGATAAAAATGCCATATTTATTTGTTTTATAACTTTACTTTACTCGGTAAAATGAAGTTCACTACTTTAATTTACCCGGTTAAGTAAATAAAGTATCTGACTTTACTTTACCGAGTAAAGTAAACTAAAAGACTTTATTTTACTTTACTTTTTCAAAATAAAATAAAGACAGAGTGCCGCCCTACGCATAGATTGTTTCAATGTTAGTATAGGCGAAGAATTTAATTACTTTTCTTTCTTTTTCTTTTGGTAGTGATGCCTGCGAAACTGTAAGACTTCGACAAATGAAAATTTTTAATTTATTTTTTGTGGTTATGGGCCGGTAAAGAAACGTTAACAGTAGTGAAATAATTCTGGTCTTCTTATTTACAACCATACTCAAACGAATAAGAAAGGTTTTAAATGTATAGAGTTACTAAATATTTTCTCATTCTTTTTGATAGGCAAAGCTCTTATCAATACTGCAAAAGATAATTATGTTGTTTTCTATTTTCTCAATAAGAGAGATATACTTATGTACATCAAATATTCAAACATAATCAATATATTGTACACAATACTGATGCATAAGTGAATAAAAATGTAGTTAAAGAGAAGATATCGGCTCATCATCGAAATAAATTCTATACTTCACATTTCATAATTGCTTTAATGTATAAGTTAAGACTATATAGAAATAGATCGTATATTATCTATGACAGTCAAGTGTAGGTGTTTCCTGTTCAATTGCACATACACCCTCAAGATGTAATAAGAATTTCATGATGCGGATGCTGATATTAAATTTCAACGATCAAGTCAATAGTTTCACTAGTTTTTACAACATAGAAATATAAATTGGATTCAAAGCTCCTTATTGAAACATTGTTGTGTTGATTGACAAAACAATTCTAGACATTAAAAAAGGAATCTGAAATGGCGATGTCTACAAGATATGAATGATAAAATAAATTATTAATCATATTTTTAATGAACTTTATTCAATGTTAATGAAAAATACTTTACAAGTGACATGGAAGAAATATTTATCGAAAGTTATTTTTTCAACAAACACTTGTTTTAGTCAAGATCAATGACAAATTTTTGTATTCGATGGTTTTCTGTATCCGCAACATAAAGATTACCATGTCGATCAAATGACAATTCACTCAGGAGGTTGGGCGTCATGGAGTTGCTTCCAACTTGTTCACCAACAATAGGAACACCTTCTATTGCACATGGCGACCAACGTTCTATTCGACTCTTTATGGCCTTCGACGTATAAATATTTCCCATATGATCAACAATCACACCTGCGGGTTGTAACAATGTATTAGGATTGTTATTAGAAACTTGTCCTGGAGCAATAAGAATACCTTCGTTTGCATCTTTCATCCATTTCATTACACGATTATTCATACTATCTGCTACATAAACTGAATGATCTTTATCGACGAACATATACTTAATAAAATGGAATTGGTTTAATTGATTTCCTACTCCATTTCCACCAGCTACAGTTGTAATTTCTTTATTTTCTTTTTGCCAACGTATGACTCGATGCATTCCATTGTCAGAAACATAAAGATCTCCATTATTATCCATTGCTAAACCCCAGCAAAAAGTATCATCCATTAATATTTGTGGATTCTGATTATTTTGACGAGACCATTTCATCACTCGGTAGTTGCTACCGTCACAAATGATGAGATGTTTCTTCTCTTTATCGAGAATTACATCTGTTGGTTGATATAATTGATTCATTTCGTCTCCACGTCCATTTCCACCCGCAACAACTTCACCATTGTTTGAATCAAATTTCCATCGAACAATACGATCGTTGCCAGAGTCAGTAATATAAATACTATCATCATCATTATCAACATAAATACCAGAAGGATATTTCAACTGATCTGATCCACCTCCTGGTTGAGATCCTCCAGCAACAGTAACTGCATTTTGTTTCCATTTTGTATTGTTATCAATCATAACAAAAGGAATTAATTGTTCTATAAAATATTTAAAAAAGCATTTGAATTTTCTTTTCTTTCCATCCAAAAATTATTTCTTAAAAATAGAACATATTTTGCTTTGTTAAACACATTGTTTCGATATCACTACATATAAATTACGATTGTGTAGATGTGAATGTAGATTGAATGAACTAGGAATTCGATACTACTTTCTCATTCAACTTTTAATGAATCTTTCGGTATTATTCTGTAGAACTATTTTATGTCACTATTCGAATAAAATATCTAAGATTGAATGAAGAAAAACTACTTTTAAATATAGTTTCTCTTTTATGAATTATTCCAAATAAGAAACGAGCTAGTTTTAACAAAATCATACCACTTGTTGTTATTGCTGCTGTTGTTGTTGATGATGATGATGATGATGATGATGACGATGTAGTTGTGATCTTTTTCGTCGTTGCTGGTGTTGATATTGGTGTTGTTATCTCTATTGCTGATGTTTTTTCTATTTTAGTTTTCTTCAATAAAACAGTAGTTGTTACAACAGCAATGATCACAACAATCAAAATAATGAGACATATTATCCAAATTAATTTTCTCTTTCGAAGATGATCATAGCTAGAATAATATATTTTTTTGATGATCTATTATAATTCATAATATATACATACAATCTTCTTAATGGTGTTGTTTCAGAGTTGGTTACTGTCGACTAAAATATTCAAAAATAAAATAAGACTGTTTTCTTTTTATTTAATAAATTACTTCATCAGGTCCAATTCTGTTATTCATTTTCAGAGTTATTCTTCTTTCTAAACTTGAGTATTTTGTCAATCTAAAATCAAGAAAAAAAAATACCTTTTCTTCAAAGATGATTGATCAATATTGATATAATTATGAAAGACATAAATTATCTCTCATTCAATATCTTTTTTTGTATTTATGAGATTTGGTATGTTTCATTTATTAATCGATCTAAATTAAAATAAAGTTTTGATTTATTCTTACGTGCGATGATAAAAAATATGTTCAAAATGATGTATGCTTCTCTATTTCTTCTCGGTTAAATAGAAGCTATTTTACATGAATTAAATAAAAACAAGTTTTATCTTAAATAATCAGTTTAAAATAAAATATTTATCATGATATTTTTAGAAAAATAAAAACAGAGAAAGTCAGGGAATGTCGTCAAATGCTACGTCAGATACATTGAGAAAGAATAGAATATTTATTGTTGCAAATATTTTATATTTAACGTTATCAGCAAGATTCAGTTTTTTTTGGAAAACTTTTCCAGATGTTCATTTTCATGAACACTTTACTTCTAGAAAAAAGTACATTTAATGACGTCTACATAATTTTGTGTTGATTATTTATCGCCTCGTCTTTGCATATCTACATAATGAATCATTTTTGCAATCAACAAAGTGTTGACTAAAGCTACTTTTTTGTTATGTTGCATGTCGATAGACAGTATAAGTGAAATATGCGGATAAAACTTCTAGTTTTTTCTTTCATATCATTATCTCTCTATTACTTCTCTGAATGACACTTTCGGTCGAATGAACACTGAATCTGAAAGTTCTAACAGAGAATTTACTAATTATGAAGTAGAATAAGAATGTGATGAAGAAATTGTTGGGGAATTATGGACCTGTCAGAGAAGTGTGGTTTCATTCTGGAAATAATACAATCGATTGCGATCGGCATTTTATCATTGTATGACTTCAAGATCATTTGAAATGGCATGGCGAAAGAGAGAAGTTTGCATTACTCCTCAAATTTTAACATTTTTCGGACAATAATAACAAATTTATTAGATGGTCTTTTGAGATGTTATCGAATTGCCATAGATTATGGATGTTATTTAATCTTGTCTTCATCAACAATCATACTTTCACCCACTCTCAAGATAGTTTTCTCAAATTATTTACTGCTTGTATATAATTTCATAAATATTCTATACAAATAGAAAAATAGAAATATCCTTTATGAGTGACGGGTTCACGAAAAATTAAAGTTATCATAGTTTACTTATATGCTGTACAACTCAAGAGAAGTGAGCCCCACGACACACTAGCTCCAAATTGTCGTTTTGCGATACCAAGATCCCGGCATCTACATTCTACCGAACACTATGATGTGTCTATGCGAGGGTGCATAGTTCTTCGTCGAACCCTTTCGAAATTTTAAAAACAGATAATCAGACACCTTCAATACTAATTGCGATCAGTACTCATTTAATTGGCAGCGATCAGGAAATTGATTCCGAAAACAGAATAATATTACTCAGAATCTGGAAGAGGTATTCTCGGAACAGAACAAAAATTCACTAGTCACAAATAGTATTTCCAGAATAGAGCAATTGTCTTCTGTTTTGAGAATAGCACTTCCGAGTATTGAGACAGGTCAATACTTGATCAAGGATGACTTTTTACAAAGATGCCTATTACATATCTTGAGGATGGGTGTGGGTGTTAGTCTCTAATAGGTATAAAATTCATACACCCACCCCACACCCACACCCTCAAGATGAAACGGCTGTGTCCACAAGATATGAATGATAAATTGAATTATTTATACTTTTAATGAACTTTATTTGATGTTAATGAAAAAGACTTTATAAGTGACAAAAAAGAATTATTTATTAAAAGTCAATTTATCATCAAAAAAATTGTTTCAGTCACGATCAATATCAAATTTTTGTATTCGATAGTTGTGTGTATCTACAACGTAAAGATTACCCTGTCGATCAAATGATAAATCATATGGGAGGGCGAGCTCTGTAGATCCTCCTCCACATTTGTTTTCACCAACGACAGGAGCGCCTTCTGTTGCACCTGGTGACCAACGCATTATTTGATAAATTCCGATCGTCGACACATAAATATTACCCTTATGATCAGCAATCACGCCTATGGGTTTCAACAATGTATCAGGATTTTCATTAGAAACTTGTCCTGAAGCAATAAGAATACCTTCGTTCGCATTTTTCTTCCATTTCATCACACGATTATTGAGGGTATCTGCAACATAAACTGAATGATCTTCATCGACAAAGATATAGTGAGGATCATTCAGTTGATTTAATTGCTTTCCTTTTCCCTTTCCACCTGCTACAACGATACCTTCTGTATACCCTTGTTGAAAACGTCTGACTTCATGCGTTCGCCAGTCAGAAACATAAAGATCTCCATTATTATCCATTGCTAAACCGAAGCAAACAATACGATGTATCAATATTTGTTGATCTTGACTATTTTGACGGGGCCATTGTACCACTCGATCATTGGCAAAGTCACAAATGATGAGATGTTTCTTCGCTTCATCAAGAATTACATCTGTTGGTTGATTTAATTGATTCATTCCGTCTCCCGGTCCATTTCCACCTGCAACAAGTGTACCATTATTTGCACGAAATTCCCATCTAACAACACGATGGTTGGTTTTGTCAGCAATATAAATACTATAATCATCATCATCAATATGAATACCACTAACGTGATCTAACTGATTTAATTTACTTCCAAATCCATGTCCTCCAGCAACAGTAATTGCATTCTGTTTCCATTTCGTATTTTTATTAATGATAACAGAAGAAGTCAATTGTTCTATAAAATATTAAAAAAAGCATTTCAATTTTGTTTTCTTTTCTTTCGATCTAAAAATCATTTTGTTAAAAATAAAACATGTTTTGTTTTGTTGAACACAATGTTTCGACATTATTACATATAAATTACAAGAATGTAGATGTAAGTGTAGATATATAAACTATGAATTCGATACTATTCTATAGATGTATGATTGTCGATCATCGAAGATTAAATTATTCTATGTGATTATTTAAATAAAATACCTTAGATTGAATAAAGAAAAGCTATTTTCTCGTTTATGAATTAATTCAAGTAAGAAACAAACTAGCTTGGTTGGCCCACAAAACAATATTAATACAGGATATGTTAGAGCTCACATTGATGTAATTAGTATAGGTATATGATGGCTTACACTCATCTATGTAACTAAGAAAAGATTTTCAGTCTACATCTAATTCACAGTGAAGTTGGCAAAATTCTAGAATCCACTAGTTTTAACAAAATCATACCGCTTGTTGTTGATGTTGCTATCTCCGTTGCTGATGTTTCTTCTCTTTCAGTTTTCCTCAATATAGCAGTAGCTGTTAGAACAGCTGCTGCTATGACAATACAAATAATGAGAAATAATATCAAGACTAATTTTCCCTTGCGAAAATGATCATAGCTAGAATAATACATATTTTTTGATGATTTATTTTTATTCACAATATATACATACAATCTTGTTAATAGCGTTCTATTAGCGTTAACCATTGCCAACTAAAATATTTAAAAAATAAAATAAGATTATTTTCTTTCTATCTGATACATTACTCCATCAGGTCCAACTGTGTTGTTGATATTCATAGTTGTCGTCTTATGTGAGCTTGAATATTTATGAGATTTAATATTCTATTAACTCGTCAATTTAAATCAAAATAAAAAAAACAAGTTTTGATTTGTTATTATTAGGGATGATTAAATCTAACTTCAAAATAATATATATTCTTTACTTCTGGTGAGTTGAATAAAAATTATTTTGTATGAGCAAAATAAAAACAAATCTTCTCTTAAATAATTAGTTTAGAATATTTTGTAGCATTTGGAACAGCAAAAAATATCCTATATCAATAAAAACATTAATCTTATTTCCGTTTTTTCAAAGTTAGTTCTGAATAAAATATTTGTCATTATTTTTTACGACAGTAAAAAAAGGGAAAGTCAGGGAATGACGTCAAATGTTGCAGAAAATAAATTGAGAAAGAATAGAATATTTATTGTTAGAAATATATATTGCATTTAACATTTTCAGCAGGAATCAGCTTTTTTTGAGAAAACCTTACCAGATGTTCATTTTGATGAACACTTTACTTCTAGAAAAAAGTACATTTACCGACGTCTACATAATTTTCTGTCGATTATTTATCGTTCTCTTCTTTGTCCTATTATTTTGTGTATACAAGTGACCAAAATTGTGAAATAGTTGACATGTCTTTTGAAAAAAACGATATAAAAGATAGCACTGACTTACTTCTTTGAATGATGGTTTTGATTGAATGAACACTGAATTCACTAATCAAGAAGTGGAGTAAGAACGTGATGAAGAATTTGTTGGAGGATTATGGACTCGTCGGAGAGGTAATATCTCGTTTCGAAAATAATATAATCGATTTCTATCAGCATTTCATCATGGTATGACTTCAAGATTATTCAAAATTTGCATTACTCCTCAAAGATTGACATTTTGCAAAAAATAATAGCAAAAATTCGAAGCAGAGTGAGTGTGGGTGTTATTATTACATCTATGCTTCTCCCATACCTTGTAATTCAGTATCAGTATATACTATAGGAGACTAAATAAAATCGAACAAATTAAAAACAGTTAATAAACAACAGAATATTAATTTTAGTCATTGTCGTTGAATTAGAACAAGCGACAATAATATTAGTCCAGATAAGTACTTTGAAGACAAGCAGTTGCATAAATTTAAACAATATTGTTATTATTATTTAGATAGCATAAAAAGGATTTTCATTGTTTTTCTCGTTTAGTGTCAACAAAAAACATTGTCATTTCCTCTTCTTCTTCATTCAAATGAGAAACTATGGGAACATTTTTCGAGATCGCATGTTGAGATTTCTTCGCAACTTGTCGACGATGACAGAAAGACAGAAGTGATGCACTAGAATAGAGTACGATCGATAGAAGAACACAAATCATCAGTAGTGTTGGAAAATGTTGCGGATTTATGTCCATCACAATACCTAAATAATATCATTCAATACATATATTCGATTATCGAATTATTCTACTTACCACCTATTTTTTGAAAAATAACTCCACCGAGTGATGCACCACACAAGATCAAACCAAGAAGTAATGGATTGATAACTAATCGTTGATTAATAAAACCAAATGATAATGGAAAAATGGGCGAGAAGATCAACCCAGTGAACGAACCGAGAATAAATAGACTCGTACTTGATAATCCTATAATCCATACAAAAACAATCCATGCTATTGCCAATATCAATCCAGCCATCCAAATCACACTTAATACTATATCAACAGATACAAACAAAGCCACGATTGCACAGATCAAACGACCAATCTAAAACAAACTTTTTTTTATTTTATCTGTTCGATTAATAATCAAAGATTTAGCAAACCGAATATGAGAGCCAATAAATAATCATTCCTAACGACGCACTTTTTGTTGAAAGTTCAAACTTCGATGATCCAAGATATGAGAAAAAGAATTTGCCAAAAGTTAAATCATTAGCAGTAACAAAAAACATGTAAACAATCCAAAGAATTGACATAGTGAGACCGTAATAAAAATAACCATTACCACAAGATCGTGGTGAATACTGAGAATAACTAACTTGAGTGTCAACAAGTGGAACATTAGTCACAGTAGTATATGCTGATTGATCCATTTGAAGAGTTCTTCGCTGAATTCGATGTTCACGAATTGCAAATAGCGAATGACCAATGGCTATCAAAAAACAAAGACTTGCTGTGATCGTGTAAGGAATACTGATCTTCGATGAAAATGGATTTTCTAATATTGAAGTCGATGTCACATTGGATACAATGATCTCGTTCTTTTCAAGAAAAGGAGCCACAAGAAGATTGACAAAGACAGCACCGAAACCAAACCCTAAATGAACTGTATTCATTGCAGTAGATGAATGATCATGCCACATTGTTAGAATAAGATTTGTACCGCCTAAAATAATCGTCTATATACTTTTTTTCATCTCCTAAACGAAATCTACCTAGATCGGTAAATCCTTGTGAGATTCCTTGAATGAAAAACACAATCGATAGAAGTAACAACGATCGAATCGACGGTGTAATAAAGATAACTAAAATCATTGATTTTTTATTCATTAAAATAAGATCAAATCTAACTTACCAATAGATGCAATTAAAAATGCGAATGAAAGTAAACCATCCGAATATCGTTTAATAAAGCCTTGTTTGACTGCTCCCAGTATACTTCCAAACATGTATCCAGCACTTCGAGCAGCTAAGATAGAACTAATTCCACTGAAAGTTGTGCCTGTTTGTTGAGCAAGAATCTTCATAGTTGGTCCAACTATTTCCGCATGAACTCCCTAATATTAATCGATAACACTGCCAAAGAGAAAGACTTATTTGAAGAAAACAAACCAGAATAATCCATGTGATCACTAGAAAACCTGTTTTGATGAATGCCCAACGTCGAGAAACACATACGTCCAGATCTTTCGTTTGTTTTATCTCCACTGCATCGACTGATTTTGAAGTCATTTCTTTGTGTTAAAATCTACAAATAGACAAGTATTATCGATGAAAATGTAAATATTCAACTCAAATCAATGTGATATTTCTTTTTAAACATCAAAATCGAATGAAACTGCATAAATGTGTGGTTTTGCGCTAATATTGTGATAAAGCCATGCGTAATGACGATTTACATCGAAGAGGTAAAGAAATGGATTATTCTTTTCTTATCAAAACCAAATCAAGTCTATTATTTGCTCTTATTGATATCCTTGTAGAGAACGAACGAATAAAGGGATTGAGATATAATGCTATGCATATCATCAATAAAACGAATATTTACTTATTTGAAGGAGAAAGAACAAAATAATCTATAAAGCAACGTGTTATGATAAAAATCATTCGGTTTTTTATATGTTCTCCTCATATAACATATTTTTATTTCGGCGCAGACATGGATCATATAAAAACAGAGAAGAATAACACCTTCGTATCTGTTTTTGCCTACATTCGCACCCAGATAATGCATTTTTAGGATGTATGTATGTTTTTTCAGTCTTACACTCTCAAGACTTATTCCAACACTTAATCAGTATATTAATAAATTGCAGCAATTCATTTTTATAAGCTAAATATTGTAGTCACTGGCTATGTTACACATACAATGAATCAATCAATCGAAGCAAATATCACAACATGTAAGATTTATTTAAAAAAAAAAATGAGAGACATAAAATTTTAATTTACAAAAAGCGGATGATTATATTTGAGGATTAGTATGGTTAAGCGTATAAAGGACTAAAACAACTATTTATATTAAACATATAATTGACAAAAAATCGAGTGTGGATATGAATAGAACATACACATCGTCATCCTCAAGAGGATTGCTTTGTTTTTAAGATACGGTTTATGTGGGTACTGTTCTTTGACGTTCAGTTTTGTTGTTTGGTTTGATTAATCAATGCCACTATCAAATTAAAAGTGCTTTGAAATCTTTACGAAATGTTTTTGACGCAACTATATATATGTAAAAAGGAGCACTATAATTTAAATAAAGAAGTAAAATTGCTATCATAGTAAAGAAAGTTTCAATTGCAATATGGTCAATACTCTTTGTAATACCCATATAATTAGTGACTGCAGTCTCTAAAACAATAAATGGATAACCAGACATTGTCATCACATAAAAAACAACTTCACCAAGAACCATAATGAGAAGATCCCGATCTCGTCGATGAATTTTATTTTTACTCGGTTTACTATGTGTATTAATACTCACAGGCATGATTCGTCCATGCAAGTGTCGTAACTTACGGTAAGCCAAGAATCCAAAAATCATCATTGATACTGGTGGAATCACACATACAAAAATCAAATAATAAATTTCAAACACAATATAGTAGAGTCCAAATTGACCACAACGTCCATTGTTGATTGTTACAAAGATTAGTAAATGACTAGCAAGAATATGCCATATGATGATCATAGCTATTATCATTTTCCATGCTACAGATGGTCGAGCAATCCAACGGAGACGAGTATTGGTAGTTGCCACTGCGTAACGATCGATACATGCGAATATTGCAAAATATCTAGCTAGTTGACCCCAAACATGTATAAAATAATAGCGTAGCTTACAAAAAACAAGAATACTATTTCCTGGATCACTATGATTGAGAGTATAGATTGTTGTTGTGAAGTTAAATGTAGTATTGATAGTATTCACAACTGCTGCCATGAGTAAATATATAGCACATGAATTCTGACGACGACGTACAAACATAATTATAATGAATATATTCCCAATGATACCGAAACCAAATATGATTGGCGCTGCATATTGATAAATATTTGCTTGTAAAAGAAATAATAATGAAGATAGAGCTGTCATTTGTTTATTCTATGGTGATAAGAAAATGTGTGTGATGTTTAGAATTTCTCAGTCTGATGAAACAAGCTTCTAGATCAATGATGATGAGATTTTTATTTTTGTCACATATATATATACATATATGTCATGTGATTCTTTGGAAAGTCCAAAAGCCGATCTATCTCTCACATGTTTTAACAATCCGATTTGTGGGTTTTCATTCTAATTTAATAGATATTATACGGTGCTTAATCCTTAGATGATAGACTTATTTTCTTGAAAATAATTAGCAAAAAAGAAAATCTTTTGAAAAAGCTGATTATTAATTTTTAATTAACTTCATTTATCGATCTACATTTATCACAAGTATGCATGCAAAACGTTCTATAAGTTTACAAAAACACATGACAAAACTATAAATAAATATTTGACATCTAACTGAGAACTTTTGTCTTAAAGAATTTCTAATTATAGTTCTCCTAGCAGTCTTATATTCAGCAATCTCTCTTTTTTTTATCAACATTACTCTTCTCCTCGCTTCTAGTTTAGTGATATTACTTTTTCGACAATTACAAAAGTAGAAAAACTTATATTAAAATTACAACAATGCAGATCATTATCATTTTACTCAACTAGTGTCTTTCTAATTATTTATCTATACATACGACAAACGAAGGAGAGGAAGAGAACATACAATTGGATGTTAATTTTCATGTGTTTATTTTTTTTCTGCAAATGAACGTTTGTATTCTATAAAATTACTCGCCACCATTCATTATTTAAAATAAAAAAAGCAACGTGACTTGTGTTTATGTATATAGAAGATAGATAAAATTCTTAGGTGCAGTTTCATTTAATATAAAATAGAGAATCGGAATTTGTTTATCTAAGAATCATTCATTTGATGGATTGAGTTCCTTGGAAAAATTTGCAATATAAAATGGGCTTCCATTAATAGAGACAGAGCGAAACTTCATCTATTTTAAAACTTTTTTGAAGTACACACTGTTAATGTCTCACCATTTCCCTCTTGAATTGACTTGATAATGATGAAATAACAGAAAATAAATATAGTAAAAACCGATAAATACTTTTTTTGTTTATTGTAAAGTTAAATTTTACACATAGGAATTGATTTGTATTTGTTTGCTATTCGATATATGAATAATTATTTATTGAAAACTGATAAATGAATTTGAATATAAAATTAGAAATAACAAAGCTTTTTTTTCTCTAAATATAAATATTGTTTATATGACTATATAAATTTGTTGTAATTTTCTAATTCCATAAATGTTATTCATAAATATATTGCCTAGATGCATACTATCAACTTTGAAGATTAAATTTTATAGTTGCGTACAATATTTTAATTATATTTTCTATGACTGTCTCATGTGGAACGTTGTCTATTAATAGTGAAGAGACATTTCCGATATATAAAATGTAAACCTTAAGAGAAACGGCGGAGAAGTAAATAAAGAAAGTAAAAAAGACACTAATTTTGTCTTTTGTGTAAGAAAGAAATATGGGATGAAACAAACATTTTTTTCATTCTATATTGAACCTAAGAAGAACAGTGCGTCTCGTCAATAACATTTTCTTTTTTCTATATAAACAAGTTGTGTTTTTTTCCTATCTAACACATAATTATCTAAACGTATTCAATTCAATATCATATCATATTTCTAGAATACAAATAAAAATGTTAACTACAAATACAATGTTAAATCTTCCATTAACAAAACAACAAAATTTATCAAAATGTCGAATATGTAGCGCTCCTGCTCAATATGCAAACTTTGGAACTATTTCATGTCATTCATGTAAAATGTTTTTCAAACGAAATGCTAATATTGAACAAGTTAGTTTTGATTATCTCTTTTTAATTTTTAAATAAAAATTACCCGTATGATTTAGAAAACATTTACATGTAATTTTGATGGCTATTGTGAAATAAAACGGGGTAATCGTCATATGTGTGCATCATGTCGACTTAAAAAATGTTTTCAATATGGAATGACTACTGACAAATTTCGACCACCAAGGCCGACGAAATCAAAAACAAAATTATTAGTTAAAGTAAAATCACGAAATCAATCAGAAAAAGTAACATAATATAAATGTACGAAATATTTTTCTTATTTATTTTTTTAGTTACCGATATTAAACTCTTTAAAACCAGATCATTCATTATTGACTACTAGTCAGTGGACACTTCTCTCAAATTTATATAATAGTTATGATGAATCTCAACTTTCATTCCTTGGTAAATGTTTAGTTGATACACATAATTCTTTACAACCAATGAATGTGACATATCAAAGACTTGTAGAAAAATTTTTATTATCTATTTATGAAACAACAGGAAAATATCTTTGTTTGAATGATGATATCTGTAAATTATCATTTAATGATCGTTCCATTTTACTTCCTACTGCTGCAGATAATATATCTTGCATAACTTCTATGTTTATTGTACATCATTTTGATTTATGTAGTCTAGAATCTTTTTTGAAAATTATGACAACAAAGTATGACAATCGTGCAATCTCTCTTTCTCTATGGACAATGAAATTTATTAATCCAGATATTATAATATTTAAATTAGCACTTTCATTATTTGCTTTAGCAAAAACTACTTGTTTGTATTCTCCAAATATTCCAATAGATTCAACAAGTTCTTCTAGAATGTTTCATCTTCAAAATAAATATGCAGAAGTTACATGGAAATATCTTAATTATAGATATGGTTGGTATGAAGCTGTTAAACATTTTCATAATATCATGTGTTGGCTTATGGCTTTGATTATGTTCATGTCCCATTTACAAACTTTTAGTACACATGTTGATAGTATTAATTCACTTGTTGAAGTAACTGAACTTACACTTATATTAGATGATGTTGATGAAATAATCGATACAAAATAGAAGTCAACGAATTTTATGTTATATGTGCTTATTGTTTGTTTTATAGTTGAATCTTTAAAATATATACAAGCAGAAATAAACTCAAAGTATATTTATTCTACAGTATTGATCAAATCTTTATAGAATGTAAAGATACATTTATGTGTATACGTATTAAACTTTTCATGTCATTATCACGCTTAAGTACAGGACGCAGTACTGGTTCAGCAATGTATGGAAATATGCTAGTTGTGCCAATACTAATAACAGCATCTAAATCTCTGTTTATTATTTCATAAAGTTGCGTTACCGCATGTATTGGTAGCATCTCACCAAAATAAAAAGATACGTGGTCGTACGAGTGCACCACAATGTTCACAATTTGGTAGTACTTTTACACCTTCGAAATTAGTTACATGTTTTTTATAATTACAAGAAATACAAAATAGATCTTGAATATTTCCATGAATTTCGATACAAGAGCAACGAGTGCTTTGTGTGCAGCATTGAGTTTAGCGGAACGACAAGCAGATTCGATTTGATACATATATATCCAACAAATGTCCGATCGTGTTTGAATTGTATGATCAGAAAGAGCCTCTTTAATTTTCATTCTATCCTCAGTCTCTTTTCCATCGCTATATAGACTGCCGACGCCACGATATGTTGATAGTTCAGAATCAGCAAAAATACATGCACTAGTAATAACTACTACACGTTTAGTATGCCGAAGTTCAGTAACAGCTTTCTTCTAAAACAAAATATTCAATAAAGATGAATATTAACATTATAATATAGAACTAACGTGAATAAAAAATTAAGAAAATTATAAATAACTTTCAATTTGGATTATTGTCTGAAGGTAAATTAGTAGTGCTTTTTTTAACATAAATAGCATGTCTTCATATACAAATAAAAATTACATTTAAAACAAAAAAAAAAGATCGGCTCTCAAAAGATTAAATAAAGATCCATTAAAACAAGATGATTTTTCAAATTAACACTAAAACTATATTCATAATTTATCATCATACTTATTTTCACACGCCGAAGAACGCCTACTAAACCGTGGATAACACTTTTTTTATTGAAACTAATTTAAAAATTGTATTCATTTTAAAGTTAATATATAATTAAATGTAAAAAAAAGTTAAACGATTTTGTTATTCTAATATTTCCAAAATATTAATAAAATTGATAAATAAGAAATATTTCTAGTAATTTTGATTTTAGTATAACTGTCATAAATAATATTGCTATATATCGACAGAAATAAAAATAATTATTACCCTCTTCCTTTTTTTCTTTGAAATTTATTTTTCTAAACATAAAAGAATAAATTATCTTGAGGATGTAATTGTAGGTGTAGGTGAGAGATGTTGGCATTCACTCCAGCCTATTACATCAGCTGATAATCAATTATTAGACAAGTTTATACTTATTTTTCAAGAAAATAAATTCGGCAAAATAGGAGTATTTGTAAGTGGTGACGACAGAGTCGCCAAATCTCATCAGATAAAGACAGAAGGACTAACAAACTTACTTCCTTCACAATTTATAATCTCATTCAAATATAAATCGATCCGTTTTCAATTGTGATAAACATACAAAAACTATTGTTGGGCCATACATCCTATCAGCTGATTTATTGCTTGTAATTGTATTAGAAATTGTTTGCAGATCATATTCTCTTATTTTATTATATTGATTTCTAACAAATTCAGCATGATTTTCGATGAAACATGAGTTTTATTAAAACTCTTCCTTAAAACTTTTCACCACACATGTTGAGACACATCTCTGCATGTAGCATTGGTTCCGTAAAATTGTCAGATTTGACTGACGACATCGTTTAAATACTTCCAATAATATTGTTCTATTCAAATCATTCTCAAAAGCATTTTTTCCATCGTTCAACGATATGAATGACTCTGTTAGACATATTACTCTTATTATATATTGCCCTACGATTTAGTTAAAAATCTTTGCGTTTCGATTCATATATATGTTTTATTCAACGCAAATGTTAGTATAATGTCAATATTCAAATAAAAAACACTCAAAATCAGTATCTTTGGAAGGAATAAAGGAAAATGTTAGTTGGGAACAAAAAAAAAGGTTAGTTTCATATCTTGATTAATAGCATGATTATAAAATAAAATAAAATAATTTCAAGAAAAATTTCAAATGTTCAAGACAAGAGAAAGTTGTCTTTAACGTCGAAGAATATTTTTCATTCGTTGTTGATGTCTTGCTTTTGCAGCAGTGTTTGATGGTTTGAACATATTTGAGAATTTTGTGAAAGCAGCATACATTGCCAAAGTATGTATAGGCATAAAAGCAACCATCATAACAGCTGACATAATTGCAACTGGTTGTTTACATGCATTTTCCTAATACACATATATTTATGTCTAGAATATTAATCATAATTGCATAAGAACTTACGAAATCTGCTGGATAAAAAACAGGAATGGTCGATTCAGTTGTTACGCCTGTGGTAGTTGGACCTGCTGTTGTTGGAGCTAGAATATAAATTAAACAATTATAAAGTATTCTATCAAAAAGGAATATTTTATTGAAAATGTCATTTCTCACCAGCTGTAGTTGGAGGTGTAGTACTGGCAGTTGTTGTAGTCGTTGAAGCATTTGTACTAGTTACTACTATTCCACTTGTTGTACACTATGGAAAAGTATAATACTAAGAATGAAATAATAATTTAAATAAAGTTACTGCAGTATTGATTGAAGTAGTAGTTGTTCCTAGGCTTGTAACTGTGTGAGTTGTTGGTGGAGTAGTAGTAGTTGTAGTCGTACTTGAAAGTGCTGGATTCCAGATATCGAATCGCCAAAATGTTTTATCGGTAATGGGTGCCGATTCAGCATCTACATAGTTACATCAATTTTGACAAAATATTTAATTTTTCACTTTCACAAAAAAAACACTTACGACAAAAGACACTTCCACTAGCAAATCCACTATCCATTGTGACATAATAGGATTGACCAGGTGTCCATGTTATAGTTGTAACAATTACAATTGTATATCCAGTATAAATAACATTTGGAGAATATCCAGAATCATAACATAGAACTGTTGCATTTGTAGAGTCCAAGTGAAAACAGATATTTGTTCCATTACGAGAAGGACGACCAACTGCACTTGTTGCTGTTTAATTAAAGTAGAAGATGAAGAATATCAAATTAATTTAGGAAAAAAGGCAAATTTTATTTCGAAACAATGCCTACCTTGTATGGAAAATAGTGACTGATTTGAAAAGACAGTACCTATAGGACTTGCTGATCCTTGTACCATTCTAGGAACAATTAAATTCGGTGAGGCATAGTCAACTAGATATGTGATACACCATGGATCTGATTGTAGACTACTATTATCAATTGCACC